GGGATACCAAAAGATTAATTATAGTACTGGTACAATAGTACCTAAAGATAACGTTTAAAGGAATTTCAGCAAAACAAAATAACAGTTTGCATCAATTATGTAAAATACTAACGATCCAGAGTAAAGGGAAGATATTAATAAAAAAAATGAATACATCCCTATTTATAATTTATCTATACCAATATTATATAGTAATAATATGCTGCTAGAATCTCAATTATCCAAGATTTCACTACCATCAGAATGTACTTTCGTTACTTTAAAGCATATATAAATTTATAGTTTTGTACTTTAAGTTTTAGTTTATTGTCTTATTAAATACGTAAACTATTTCTTATCTAAAATATAATTTGGATAATCAAGATTGCTACATTAAATTTGATGTAAAAGTTAAAAACTCTACGAATTGCTCAAACAAATTAAAGATCATTTTCAAGATTTATCTAAATACCTTTTACGAAATATGTTTCCGTAATGTACGCAGTGTCTCTGAATAAAAATACAGCAAAAGAATACAACAGAAAATACACATACTATATGTATAAGATACACGCATCCAGTTCACACAACTATGCATTAACTTGCATAAATATATTCTTCCTTTCATAAACAAGTGGAAAGATAACGTACGGTAATAAATAATATCAACGATTATTAATACTACTTTAGTGAGATCGTTTTGCAGTACATAAGTAAGTTATGTACTTTCTCTCAATTCTTTATAAGAAAAATATCTTACAAATTAGGTTGCAAACAAAGTAATGACTGCTTTCAAACTAATTATTTACCTACAAAACAGTCATTACATTATGTACAAACTAATTTCTGTCATAATTATTTATGTATGGTAAACTCTTGCATTCGAAATACGTAATAGTATGTTATTACTATTATTAAATAATAAAATAATTCATGAAAATCATGAAACGAAATATGTATTCACCTTCATGGAAGGGAAGACAAAATGTTTTTACATTCTAATAAATCACCCCGATGTATGATCAGAAATAGGAAATCTCACCGCACACTACCATTAACATATCACATCGACGTTGGCACGAAATTTTCCTTATCCAAATAGTTGTATAAATCTGTTATCTATTCTTTACATTCATAACTTCTTCAAAATATATTAGCGCAACTTCGCAGTACTTATTTCAAGATTAACTTGAAGTATCACAATCTATTTATATGTTAAATAAATAACATACATACAATAGGCGTTTGATAAATAGCTGTTACACACACACTTGCGCACTCACTCTAATCTAACGGCTATGATATTGTTTTATCAAAATCACTGAAATAAAAACTCTATGGTGCCAAAGGAGTCACAATGTAGCAGTAACAATTTTTTTATTGATGGAGGTTCTTCAGAGATTTCAAGATCAAGTATATTCTTTAAATAAACCTGCATATTTTTTTATATAATCAAGAAAACAATGATTCATGAGATATTTTAAACTATGTACAAAATATCTCATACACTCTACTCTTCTGAAGACCTTCTATCTGGATAAAAGTTATTATTACTACGTTATGGGTCCCTATACGGATACCAGACAACTTCATTTGATGTCGCTAAAAATAATGGAGATGATTACAGTGATCATATTTAGTAGCCCACCCTGTATATCACAGCGAAAAAACGAAGAGCCCTTCTTGAGGCCTTAGTGCAGCTACTTGTCAAGCGCCTACTGTGTATATATATATATATATATATATATATATACATCCACATAGTATGTATTCAACTGTCAGTTTATACAACTATTTCTTTGTGCGTGCATGTGTATGTGTTTGCATATTTTTTATAAATAAATATGTATATGTATGCTCATACATATATATACATACATACGAGTACTATGTAAGAAACGTATTTGCATACACATTGTCTTCGAACATTATAAAATTAATCATCTCACTCATATTACATATTCCGGAACGGTATTGGTCTTAAACCGGGACAGCGGCATAAGGTACGGTAGACTGTCTGCTTAGCGTGTACATGAATTAAAGTACTATTGAGGCGGAAATACCTGTTGTAGGAATCATAATAGTCTTTCCTGTCCGTAGGCGGAGGTCCCAAAGACATAAGCGGCGGTGGGTGACCAGTGACTAGATGCGGCAACAAAGGTGGTATATTATGTTGTGTCGGTTGGTTCCTTATCGGATATCTCTGTATTGGCCTGTCTCTAGGAGGTAAATCACGCTCCCGATCACGAAATTGATAATCGTGTGCCGGCGAATCATTGTAGTAACTATTATAGCCTTCTCTGGGCTCGCGTGATCTCGGTCGTTCTCTATCACGATCCCTCTCTCTTTGAAATCTGAAACCATTGGTAATTAAATCTTTAACGTCGAATTTTAAAACATTTTTAACAGTTGTTTTATGTACATACCTCAGAGGTGATCTAGCTGGTGAACGATATCTAGAAAGTACTTCTCTGTCCCGATCACGGTCACGATCACGATCACGGTCGCGATCGCGTTCTCGATCTCGATCTCGATCCCGATCCCGATCTCGATCACGATCACGATCACGATCACGATCACGATCACGATCACGATCACGATCACGATCACGGTCGCGATCACGATCTCGATCGCGCTCTCGATCTCTTTCTCTGTCCCTTTCTCTATCTCGTGATAAAGATAATCTAGGGGACTGACTACGTGAATACGATCTAGATCTGCAAAGTTACATATTTTATGCAATAGCCGTCGATACGCATTGATACTAATTCGAAATATGGTGGTAATTTGATGTACCTGCTAATCGAGAAACTTCCGCTTCTTGATCTACGTTTCGGAGTGCGACTTCGCGCTCGTAAAGGCAAAGGCGATCTCGAAGATCTTCTCTTCGAAGGAGGGCTTCTGGATCGGCTTAAACGAGCCGGGAATGGCGATCTACGACCGAACGATCGTGATCTAGATCTAGTATAACTGCGAGATCTCGATCTTGTTCTGCTTCTCCTTCTATGTTTTCCAAGCCTTCTATCCCGTTCATCTTTCTCTCTTAGCATTCGTTCAAAAGCTTCCAGAGGATCGTCAATTATACTAAAAAGGTAATATTAATAACGATATAGGTTATATATGTTCAGCAATTTGCTTTATTACGATTTTCTTAGCTTTCTGGAGAAGAAATATTTATGAAAATGGTATCCAGTATATTGTTTTGATAACTACTAACTCACCCAGGTGGATTGCCATTATGTATATTTCTACTTAAACCTGGTGGTGGGGGTTGTAATCCTCGATAGCTGACTGAAAGATAAAAGTAGTAATTAATATATTTGTATACACATTCATGAAATTTAAATAATTACTCACTGTGGTGCATTCCTCTGATCGGTCGTGGCGGTCCATTATAGTTTCTAGGTGGTTGTGACGGTCTGTATCCTTGTTGTTGATAAGGAGGCCTTTCATACCGAGGAGGTCCATAGTGAGATCCTTGTTGATGAGGATACATTGGTATCCGATGACTCATATACGGATCCGGCAGTAATGGTGCGTTATGTGGCGGTACATTAGGTGGTGGTTGATTATAACTTGGTTGTGGAATACGATCCTCCCCTGGTGGAAACGGTAAAAGAGGTGGTTGATTGCCAGATGTCGGCACGTGTAAATGTGGTTCATCAACCTGAAATATTTATACATGTGTATCACTAATACAATAATAAAAACTCATTTTGTATTAATATAGTATGTTGCACAGTACTAATGTGAAATATGTTACACATACCGTTGGAGTGCCTGGACGATCTTCAGTTGATCTACGTATGGCACTATCATAATGCATACTAGGAGGATAATGTCCATCGTCTGGTGGTAGCCCTTGATAACCTTTTGATGGGGGTGGGTTCATTAAATGTGGTAATGGTGCTCCTTGAGAACTATAATCACTATGTTGAGAATGCCTAGGAGATAAAGATCGTCTTCTACTCAATGGTCGCAAATTTTCAATTCTACGGCCACGTTCTCCACTTCTAAATTGTTCAATATAAAATTAATATCATATAGAAACTAATAATGTTCAGATTCTACTAATTAAACTGTGTTACCTATCACGATGACCATCTCTGCTAAAACTTCGCCTTCGTTCTCTCGGTTGTCTTTCTCCCAAGTATTCATTCTCACGATCTTTCTTTTCTCGACTTGGAGGATCGCTTCTTTCTCTGTCTCTTTCTGGAGAACTCCCAATAGCAGGTATTGGAAGCAAAGGTTCTGTTCCTGGAGGAGGTGGTACCTCTGTTTCTTCGTCTGTAGTTAACTTTGTTACAGAATCACTTTGCAAATCAGATTCTGATGTTGATTCAGGAAGAACTATTAAATACAAGTAATATTTAACATAATGCTTCGATTTTATTAACGGATACTATGGTATTAAATAATTTTCAATGATTTCTTTTCACAAAGTTGAAAAACTTAGTATTTTGTCTTTCTATTTGAGGTTAAGTGCAGGTGATATCAGCTAGTTCATAAATTTAAATGTAACTTAACCACTATATAACAAAACAAGTTTATGCAAAGGAATCGAACCCATCCAAATGTTATAAAATAACCACAATATGTACTGCTACATAAAGAGAAAAACATTTAAACCGGATTTATCGTATATGTTCTTTAATGGCGGCGTCTACCCGGCAACTTCAAAAAAAGAAAGTGATTTTATATCAAGAATTCATGTTACAAAATTCATTCGATCTGTCTTTTTATTAAAATTCTTTGCTCCGATTTTTAAAAATATACGACTAAATAAAATACTAATTTGTATATTTATTATTGTTTTTATAAATGGACATATAAAATAATAATGAACAGTATTTTAGAAGAACTTTAGTTTTAATAATAATTGATTTCTCATCAGTGGTATTATAATTATAGACATATTTATAGGTAGTTTATTTTTGCTGAATATATTTGCCATTTATTTATTGGATTAAAGGAAAGTTATGAATGTTCTATTTAACTCTATTATATTGTTATATTCTCTACTTTCAAAAATTTTCTTAATAAATACTTTAATTTTTAATAATTGATCCATAAACATAGAAATTTTACATTCATTAGGAAATTTTGCAAAATATAGAAATGACTTATGAAAGTAACTTACTTGCTGTTTGCGGTTGTGGTGCAGTGCTAGCTGGAAATTGCTGAGGAGCAGAATCAAAATTTGTTGGCTGTATTTCCGTATTTTCTTGAGAAGGCGCACTTGCTCCAGCTGGAGTTTGGACAGGTTTGTTTTGATTCAATGTTTGACTTGCAATGTGTTCAGCTTTTTGTTGATCTACTTGTCTATTTGTCTGAGTAGGCTGTCTATACGTTTGTCGTTTTGCATATCCAGTTTCATTCTTAAAATTCATTACAGCAGTTCGTAAAAATCGGTTGGGTATAAGAGTTTCTGGAGACACATCTTTCTCATTGCAATCTGGACATTCGTGTTCTTCAGATTCTAATAAGAATGTACGGATACCTATCGCACGATATACAGAAATGATAAAAACATACAAGTTATCTACAGTAAATTATAATCGTTAAATAAAAAAAAAATTACATTCGTCGCAAAATGAATTCCCACAACATGGTATCATTACTGTATCAGTCAGAAGATCTTTGCAAATGTTGCATAACAGGTCTTCTGGAATTTCAGGCTTTTCCACGGCAGGCTCTGGATCTTGTGAGAATGGTGGTCGCTCCTTTTTACCCTCTTTGTATGCTTGACTATAGAAATATAAAATATTGTAAATAATGTGAATGTAACTCTTTTTTTAAATGTTGAAATATTAAAACTTACTGATCAATGGCTGGAACTGCATACTGGCCAGTAGGAGTCATCATAGCACCAGGAACTCTTGGTCCTTCTACTGGAACCATAAAACTTCTAGGAATGCCTGTGCTTTTCTTAATTTCTATGGGTTCCTGATTTGTTCCTAGTGGACAATTCTTTATCCAATGACCAGGTTGATGGCATTTATAACAACGATAATTTGCAGGCACATCGCCAGTTTGATTGGCTCCACGTATTTTCATGTAACTGTTAAAAACATTGTTATTATGCATTAGCAAATGAATACAAAGAATTTGAGAAAAATATAGCAGAAGAGATGAACAAATAAATCGAAATAAGATAATAGGAAATTCTATTAGGTAATTCATATACTTTGATGGATCGTAATCTTGGGTTGACTGAGTCATCATGGCACGAATTTTGTCCTCTTCGGAGCCATCGAGTCGTGTAAGATCTACAGTCCGACCAAGATTTGCTTCATCCTTTAAATTACTAAATGAAGGAGTTTCACTTCTATCCCATGATCGTTTTTGTTGTACAGTCAATGGAACCCTGGCAACAATAAGGCTAGTATTCTTTGCAATCAAGGCATTATCATCTGTGTAATCTAAAAAATTAATTTAACATTGTGTTAACTTCAACATTATATTTCATGTGATAGAAACAAGTATGACACATTTACCTTCTTTTGTTTGCGCATTTGTTATTTGCAAATCAAAATCTGTATTTTTTCCTATACGTTTCTGATGGAAAATAGCTTTCTTCAAATCCGCTACAGAAATATGTAATCCATCAAAGGACACAGTGTCATAGTCCAAAGTGGACTTAAATTTATAGTGTACTGACATTGTTGTTATTTATATATCCTGTGAACAGACAATGAAACATTTCTTTCCTAAATGATGAGAATAAGTACCAACATTTTTTAATAACTTCACTGTTTCCAATATTATTTAAATTGGAGCAGAAAACTCTTATACTATAAACTTTACTCTTAATACTTTATGGCAAAATAAAATGATATAAAATAAGATACCAATAATCTATCAAACTTAATACTGTATTAAGTTACTTTATGATAAGATTTACAATATTTAATATTATTGTATACAAAATTTATTACTCTGAAAATATGTAGTTATTATTAGTTTCTCATTGCTCCGAAGAGGAAGATTTTGTTACCCATTCACAACACACATCATTCTAGTTTACTTTCATGTGTTTTTACTAAAAGAATGCTAATTGGATCTGCCTTAGAATTTACACAATATTCAGACACACACACACACACACACATACATCACTATGTATATTACTCAATTTTTTGTATATAGCAGTTTTAAAATATGTTAAATGTTTGTACACAAAATTCTCCAATATTTCAAAAGAAAGTCAAAAAGTACAGCCTCAACGAAATAGGTATACAAAGCAAGCATAGTACAACCACATCAAATGCAGAGAAGTAGTCTTTTTTTGTCATAATAGGTTAGTAGAATTAGATATACAATACAGTGAAATGTTGAACATCAGGTAATTAAGAATATATTAAAATTATGTGAAAGATCGAGGCGAAATATTTCGGAATAAGTACAAACAAGAATAAATGTGCAGTTATTACCTATTAACAAGTACTCACTACAAAATGAGTAAATTCAAATTGTGCAAGCGACAAACGTATTTTCATGGAGAACATACAAACATGATTCTCGACTCCTGACATGTTGTAAGGTGTAATAAATTTTCTATAATGTCTTTCGGGAATCTCAGAATCATCAGATATATAACCTATACACACACGCGTCTACTAATTCTGATAAAAGTGAGGCACTACGAACAAAACACTGGAATCGCAAATCCGAAAAACACCAATTGACTATATAATTCAACCGTGAGTGTAGCAGAGACGAACAGACATTGAATTCATAGATGGCACAATCAATAGTGCATACACGAATAGACGAAATAGTTGTCCACTTTATTCCAATTTCCCCAAATATACTAACCAAAACCATAGAGTATATTAGAGACGAAACTCCTGTTGGAATTTGTGACATGTGTGTCCCCAAATTTTTGTCGCCTTTTCTGAATTAATAAAGCCAAATGAAGAAACATATGAATAAGTTAAAAAGTGTTGCAATATTTAAAAATTATTTTTATTTTGTCATGTATGTAATTAAATGTAAAAATTTGTAAAAAACAGATTTAAGACGAATTTCACATTTGTTTTATATAGATGTTAAGAAATTGAATTGATTTCCAATTTATGTTAGTAAGTTCTGAAGCTGTATTCATGGTGTACAAACTTGAGTACGCATATGCATTAAATGTAATGTACTCAAATGGATGTACTTACAGACGCATGCGTTGTAGAAATAATTTCTTGAAAAATAGCGGGATTTAGCTTCTGTAAATATCCTCTGTGACAAAATGAAAGCACGTACTATATTATCATATTCTATGATTGATTTACAGCGCTGTAATCGCGTGTGATTATTATGTACTGTGTAATTAATTTATTTTGGCGCGTATTTTCTTCCATCCGTTATATTATTTTTACAGCTTTTTAAAAGACAAATAATCACGTTAAAATATATGTAACGTCAATGAAAAAGAAATTTAATTACTTTATTTATATATTACAAAATATATTATTATTATTTATAATCTTTTATATCCTAATATCACAGTCAATTTAATATGAAATTTTTTCAATTTAATATGAGACTATTCACAAATAATAAATCTCGAATAAACCACAATGTTTGAAATTAAGTATTGTTCCTAATTTTTAATAGCCTCTCTCTTATTCTTTTTAACGTTTCCATATCAGAGAGTGAAATTTCTTCATTTTTCTCCAAAAATGAAATGACACAGTTTAGGCTTTCCATTGCTTTTGAAGGTGAGATTTCATTTTGTATTTGTTGATCATTCTTTATGTCTACTGTAAATAAAAAAACTAAATGTATTTATATTATTTTATTGTATTTTATTATTAATACATACCAGTTTCATCACTGAGTGGACCTTCGATGGCTGCAATGATTTCTTTATCAGTAAGAATTAGTTGACTGTCAGCATGAATCCATTTGTTGATCTGCTCCAATGTAACATTTTCATAATATGAAATCTTTTTACATATTTCAAGGATATGTTCAGAATTGAAATGATCAATACTATCATCTATCTCAATTGGCATGTTTAATAATGGTTTCCAACAATTAGAAATTGTTTCTTCTGTGATGTCATCCCAAGATTCACTGATCAAATCAATGGCATGTTTAATATCAAATGAATTTATTGCTTCATTATATTCAATTCCATCAGCTTGGGCATTTATCACAAATGTCAATAATTTTGCTTTATATCTCCGTTTTATTGCTTCGATTATGCCTTGATCAAGAGGTTGAATAATTGGTATCACATTGGGTGGAAAAGAAATTGCTCGAATTCCATCGACAGTTAAGACATCTGTTAATGAATGTGATTTGGTATTATCCAGTAATATAATTGCTTCTTCTGGCAAACCTCTCGAATTTAGAAAAGTGCGAACACTAGGTACAAACTGTTCTTTAAACCACCTTTCAAAAATAATAGCGCTCATACGAGCATTTGTTTCACTTGTATAAGTTACAGGTGACAGTCGGGGTGCTAAATCTTTTAGTGTTCGTGATTCAGGATAGTGTCCAATAACTAATAATGGAATTTTCAATGAACCATTAGCATTACAGCATGTCAGTACAGTCAATCCCTCCTTAATTTTGTTATACCTTGGAGCTGAGTAATCTGTCTTGATAACTGAAGTCTTATCTGGCATCATTTTGAAATAGAGTTCAGTTACATCAGCATTAAATATTTGATCTAAGGTTAATTGTTCAGCTTTTATTAACTTTGCTATTTCTTTTTTAAATTGATCAACTGCTTCCGAATTTGTGGATAAGTGTCCCTCTGAAGTTGCTATAAAACGAATGCCATTCCTCTGTTTCCAGTGCCGAAACCATCCATCACTCGCTTTAAAGGTCTCCATGCCACCAAATTCTTTAAAAAATTCTAGAGCTTTCGCTAACAAAAGTTTTTACAATTAAAGCTACACAATTTCATGCAGAAAAGATTTAAAGCCAGGCTATAAAGGGAAAATTAACATGTACCTTTCACATCTGAAATACTGATCGAGTTCTTCCGTTTCTTTTCATCGTAAAACCAAATGGTCAATGCTTCGTTTACTTTTTCAACAGGAGACAGACGTACACGTTTTGAATAAGTGGACAGTCTATGCTTTTCTAACGTTTCTCTGTCATGAATCCACTTTCTTACTACACTTTCATGAACATTATATTCAATAGCTATTGTTCTTATAGAAGCACCTGTATCAATTTTTTTTACTGCTTCCAATTTGTCTTGCAATGACCAATTTTTATATGTTCTCTGTTTCTTAACATTTGCACTACTGGTACTTGGTTTATTGGATTCCTTCTTGTTGCTTTTTCTGGTCACTAGAATAATTATTATATTAAGGCAAGTATAGGTCTATTATATTTTCCACTAGTTTATTTTACACTAATTTAAGTATAATATATACTTTATACTTGAGATATTGTATAAAACAGTTTTATCGCTTGGCTTCAATTATAGCTGCTCAAGGTAGAAACCCTTTAAGTGACAATTAGGAATGCCCCTCGTACATAGGTATTAGTCATACATGTGCGTACATCTCCTTTGCTTTCTACCTGGAATACAAATCTCAAATTGTATTATTAAACATACCATTTTCATTACTGTTGCAATCCTCCATGATTTCACTTTCTTGATCAGATAAATTGAATTGGCTACCAGCATGGATCCATTCATTGATATGATCCAATTCAATATCTTCATGATGCTGAATTTTTGTACACATTTCATAGATATATTCTGAAGTGAAATGATCAGAACTATCATCTACCTCGATTGGCATATTTAATAATGGTTTCCAACAGTTGGAAATTGTTATTTCAGTAATATCATTCCAAGATTCATTGATTAAAGCAACAGCATTTCTAATATTAAATGAGTTAATTGCTTCGTGAAAGTCCATTCCATCAGTTTGGGCATTTAATACATATCTTAACAATTTTGCTTTATACCGCCGTTTCACTGCGTCAATAATACCTTGGTCAAGAGGTTGAATAAGTGATGCCACATTAGATGGGAAAAATACTGCTTTAATTCCATCAACAGATAAAACATCTGTTAATGAATGTGATCTAGTATTATCGAGCAATAATATAGCTTTTTCAGGCAACCCTCTCCATTTTAAAAAGCTGCAAGTGCTAGGCACAAACTCTTCTTTAAACCATCTTTCAAAAATAGTGGTGCTCATACAGGCATTTTGTTCGCTTGTATAAGTTACGGGCAACAATTGTGGTGCCAAATTTTTCAGTGCTCGTGGTTTTTCATATCTTCCAATGACTAGTAATGGCATTTTTAACGAACCATTAGCATTACAGCATGTCAATACAGTCAATCTATCCTTAATCCTTTTAAACCCTGGTGATATGTGCTCAAAGTTGAGATCTGTGGTTTCCTTGGGCATCATTTTGTAATAAAGACCAGTTTCAACAGCGTTAAATATTTGATCTGAAGTTAATTTTTCTGTTTCCATTAACTCTAATATCTCATTCTTAAACTTATTAGCTGCTTCAGAATTCGAAGATAATTGTTCTCCTGCGGATGTTATACAATGAATACCATTCCTCTGTTTCCAATGTCGAAACCATCCATCACTTGCTTTAAATGTTTCCATGCCACCAAATTCTCTAAAAAGTTCCAAGGCTTTTGCTAACAAAAATAATGTAGCAATTAAAAGCAACATTACTTTAAAAGTAATTTGTTTGTATTGTATTTTTATTGAAAACATTAAGGCAATACCTTTTACTTGTATAACACTGATTGGGTTGTTACGTTTTTTTTCATCATAAAACCAAACAGTTAAGGCTTCATTAACTTTCTCAACAGGAGATAAGCGTACACGTTTTGAGTAGGGGGAAGTACTGTGTTTTTCCAATGTTTCTCTATCATGAATCCATCTTCTTACTACTCGTTCATGAACACTGTACTCAACTGCTATATCTTTTATAGAAGTACCTGCATCCCTCTTTTTCACTGCTTCCAGTTTGTCTTGCAGTGTCCAATTTTTATGTGTTTTCGGTTCCTTGACATTTGTGCTGCTTGTATTTGGATGACTAAATTCCATTTTCACGTATTTACTGGTTCTTAAAATGACTATTCTTATAATATAAGAAATCTGTTGTATTGTATTTTACGCTAACATAATTTAATAATATATGTTTTATGAAAAGTTTGAGTAGTTGAACCAACCTGTTTGATCATTTGACATGAACTCACATGAACTACAGTAGCCGCTCGATAAGTAGAAGCCCTTTATGTGAGAATTAGGAACGCCCCTTGCTCCACACATTGTATGCGCGCGCATTCTTTCTGCAACGCATACAAGTTTTTATATTATTATATTGCTTGTATTAAAATTTTATTTTTATTAATAAAATAGCACATATTTTTCCATCGGTTCATTTTTTGCAGTAATCCTCGCTTAGTCGAGCTGGGTCATTTTTGTTTTCCCATGATGTCTTCGACGGCATCAAAGCGATAACATAACTGATGGTATAAGTCAAAAGTGCTTGGCATGGTCACTTTTGGATTGGCGGTTGGAGGGTTAAATTCTTGAAGTACGATATTTCATTACGCAAAATATTTTAAGGAATCAATTTATGTAATATGTAAGTATAAATTGATATAACATCAATTTTCGAAACTTCATGTATCCTTAAAAATGTTTAAAACAATCAACTTAATCGAAATAAAAGACTTACCTTGTTTACCTCCCGTGTAAACAAGTAAATACATAAACCAGAATTGAAAAGAGCGCGTGCGTCTTCTGCGCACTCGATAAGTGTTAGGAGTAGACAACTTTACTCTTGCAGAGCCCCCAGTTTTACTGCTTATGAAGCGGTCATTGTAACATAAATTTAATTGTACTAATTATTATTAAATGAAATATTAATGTCTATATAGTAATAACAGGGATGTACAAACGACATAGATTCTTAATTTTTTACTTAAATACCATCTATATTTTTTGTTACAATTTAATTATAAAATCCATACACAATAGTTATTATTTACATTGTTTTGTACATTAAAAGAAAATTATATTGATAAAATATAGAGTCTGGAATAAAACATGATTTTGCACAAATAATGATTTAAATTTCTTATATTTTTGTTAGAATGCAAGTGATTATGAAGTATGAAGGTGTTAACATAGAGATATTTTGATAAATGAGTGAAGAGAGCATCTAACATAGAAGAAAGTGTACACGAATTCATGAATTTCTTTTAAATCTACGAAGTAGATACTACGAANATACTACGAATAGTAGTAGATTAAGTTTAAGATTTGACTATTCTCGAGCTTCGAATTCTTAAAGAATTCAAGAATTTCAAGAAAAGACGAATATATGTTTGATTCTTCTAATGCTGCTCAATTTATCTTTTTGAGTTTCAATGGTTCTGTATCTTTTATTTTTTTACAAGGAAGAGAATTACAACTGCGATTCTCCTTATCTTCACTCTGTAAATCTGTAGACAACAAACATGTTTTTTTAGATTAACATTAAATGAGCTTAATGTTATACATTTTTTAATTCTACAAGATCATCTATTGATTATTGGAACATGAAATATTAAACAATGTAATCTAATACTTACAATCTAAACTCTTTGATTGAACGAGTACTTCTGACATATTCAATGTTGATGTGAAATGTTCATTGGAGTCCAAAGAATTGCATGAGTTGGAATGCTTCGATAATAATTCACTGTTCGTAGAGGATGTGGAATATCTTGTATTGTCTAGTGTTGACGATATCATCGTAACATTAGATATACTGGTCGAGTTTGCAATTTGTTTTAGTGTTATTTCACCATCCAAGTCATTCTATATAGATATACGTAAAAAGATAGTGAAATGTTTAAATTCATTTAGCAACACAAATTATGATTACTTACATAATCTTCTGATGTTTCAACTAATTTCCTGGTTTCTCTAAATTTTTTAAGAATTCGTTCATGCGGTGATGTTACAGTAAATTGTCGAGGATAAGAAAATTCTTTTCTAGCAGGAGTTGTTCCTATAAATGCAAGAAAAAGCTCGATTGATTCGAATTCTTCTGCGTTATGCATGATGATATACATTACCTGTGGGTACATCATGTTGTATTTCGTCATCAAAGAATTGATTAACTTCTCTCACAGCTACATGCAATTGTTCAATATTTTCGTTGCAACATTCTGTTGATTCTGTGATTAAATTTTCCGAGATACTCGATATTTTTTCGTATGTATTAATAAGTTCATTTTCCTCGTTCTTTATCACACTCTCATAATTTTTATTTGCATTGTCGAATATTTTAAAAGCATCCTGTAATCATCACATTTTCGAATGTTTAATCTAACATATCAACATACAATCAGTTTTTTTTACGAACTTACATCCAATAGACCAAGAGCTTTATTCTTATCGTCATCCATTTCTTGCTGCAGTTCTTCCTCATTACATTCTATAAGATTTTTATACTGCTTCAAAACATCAGAGCTTGCATTAATATTAGATTGCAATTCGTTCACCAGATTCTTCCCTTCTGTTACAGTTGCGTTTACTAGGGTTTCATTCTATCAATAAAATAAAATATACATGACTATTCTAAGCATTACTTCCTATGATATCAAAGTTTGTGTTAAAGTTACCTTTTCTATTACAGTAATTACATTATATGCAATTTCTTCCAAATGAGTTTGTACTTGTTCTCGTAGAGTATTTTCCAATTTTATATTGTTACTACAAGTATCCGTCGAGTGATCGTTTGCTTGATCACAAACGTCACAAACGTAATTACATTTACTAGTTACCATAGAGAAATGTTCGTTTTTATCCTTCTCTAAAAGATTGAACTCGGAAGTTACATTCTCCATCATCTTAAAAATAATACTATTTGAGTATACTTGAAATTGATATACAGTAAANATACTACGAATAGTAGTAGATTAAGTTTAAGATTTGACTATTCTCGAGCTTCGAATTCTTAAAGAATTCAAGAATTTCAAGAAAAGACGAATATATGTTTGATTCTTCTAATGCTGCTCAATTTATCTTTTTGAGTTTCAATGGTTCTGTATCTTTTATTTTTTTACAAGGAAGAGAATTACAACTGCGATTCTCCTTATCTTCACTCTGTAAATCTGTAGACAACAAACATGTTTTTTTAGATTAACATTAAATGAGCTTAATGTTATACATTTTTTAATTCTACAAGATCATCTATTGATTATTGGAACATGAAATATTAAACAATGTAATCTAATACTTACAATCTAAACTCTTTGATTGAACGAGTACTTCTGACATATTCAATGTTGATGTGAAATGTTCATTGGAGTCCAAAGAATTGCATGAGTTGGAATGCTTCGATAATAATTCACTGTTCGTAGAGGATGTGGAATATCTTGTATTGTCTAGTGTTGACGATATCATCGTAACATTAGATATACTGGTCGAGTTTGCAATTTGTTTTAGTGTTATTTCACCATCCAAGTCATTCTATATAGATATACGTAAAAAGATAGTGAAATGTTTAAATTCATTTAGCAACACAAATTATGATTACTTACATAATCTTCTGATGTTTCAACTAATTTCCTGGTTTCTCTAAATTTTTTAAGAATTCGTTCATGCGGTGATGTTACAGTAAATTGTCGAGGATAAGAAAATTCTTTTCTAGCAGGAGTTGTTCCTATAAATGCAAGAAAAAGCTCGATTGATTCGAATTCTTCTGCGTTATGCATGATGATATACATTACCTGTGGGTACATCATGTTGTATTTCGTCATCAAAGAATTGATTAACTTCTCTCACAGCTACATGCAATTGTTCAATATTTTCGTTGCAACATTCTGTTGATTCTGTGATTAAATTTTCCGAGATACTCGATATTTTTTCGTATGTATTAATAAGTTCATTTTCCTCGTTCTTTATCACACTCTCATAATTTTTATTTGCATTGTCGAATATTTTAAAAGCATCCTGTAATCATCACATTTTCGAATGTTTAATCTAACATATCAACATACAATCAGTTTTTTTTACGAACTTACATCCAATAGACCAAGAGCTTTATTCTTATCGTCATCCATTTCTTGCTGCAGTTCTTCCTCATTACATTCTATAAGATTTTTATACTGCTTCAAAACATCAGAGCTTGCATTAATATTAGATTGCAATTCGTTCACCAGATTCTTCCCTTCTGTTACAGTTGCGTTTACTAGGGTTTCATTCTATCAATAAAATAAAATATACATGACTATTCTAAGCATTACTTCCTATGATATCAAAGTTTGTGTTAAAGTTACCTTTTCTATTACAGTAATTACATTATATGCAATTTCTTCCAAATGAGTTTGTACTTGTTCTCGTAGAGTATTTTCCAATTTTATATTGTTACTACAAGTATCCGTCGAGTGATCGTTTGCTTGATCACAAACGTCACAAACGTAATTACATTTACTAGTTACCATAGAGAAATGTTCGTTTTTATCCTTCTCTAAAAGATTGAACTCGGAAGTTACATTCTCCATCATCTTAAAAATAATACTATTTGAGTATACTTGAAATTGATATACAGTAAAATCCATAAAATCATGTAATAAACTGCTTATACCCTTGCAAATGAACGGTGTTTCTCCGTAAACTCTTGCCGCTTACATATTTCATCTGCATCTTTTTTGATAATTTCAATATTTCTAAGTACACTGTCATAAGCATTCTTTTCTTCATTGCAAAGAGAATTTATCATTTCATTTACTTGAGTTGCAGTTTCTTTTACTTTATCTAATACATTCTGTTTCACAAATTGCAAATTTCTGATAATTTCGGTTTCAATTATTCCATTAATCTTATCTGTCGATGTTAGACAAACGTTATGGAAAAGTTCATGCTCCTTTTCTATCGATTCTACTGCACTCCACATCTTATCTTTCTTCCAATTTTGATAACTTGAATACTGAAATGTATATGAAATTACTATCATAACTAAGTATAAAAGTATACGAACAAAAAGTAATTTTACAGAATTTATTAAATACATACGGATTCACTTATTTTCCCTTTTAAATTGTCAATTAATAGATCTGTTTGAATTAGATGCATCTCTGGATTAGTAACTCCCGACTTCATAATGGTTTTAGCGTCTAAGAAAAACGTTATACATTTTTAAATTGCTCGTACTTATTACAAAAATATTTTCACTTGACAGATTAGTGCTTTACCGATATTATTTCTGATCGATGTACAAAATTTCTTTAAGTTTTGTCCATATCTATAGATGTCACTTTCAATACCTTCGAAAGAGTGACGAATACTATCTCTAAATTGTTCTCCAAGATCTTCAAACTTTTGTTCTGCATATCTAAAAAGGTATTTTGATTGTATCTTATTTATCATTTGAACTATAATAATTGCAATAACTTATTAATGTATAGTTTATAATTAACTCACTTTTTACGATCAATTTTTTCATGTAGTTTTTGAGAATCTGCGGTTGCCATATCCGCAATATTTACCAGTGATTGAGCTTGAGATAGTAAAGCTTGTTCTGTGTTAATATGTTTTTCTAGTAAATATTTTTGTTCATCTCTTTCTTGTACTGTGTGTTTCAATTTGTGATGCGTTGACTTTAAAGCTTCTGCAGTATTAACTAATTTGTCTATAGTTTTGTGTAATTCTTGCATTTGTGCGTTGTTTTGTACATTAAGTTCATTATATATTTTCTAGAAAAGAACAAAAAAAAGTTATATTGAATGGTACAAATGAAGCATTTATAAAATAGTTACCTCTTTATCTTGCATAGTTCTCTCCAAAGCTTTTATGTGATTAATTTTGTCCTCTATTTCTTTCCTCTGTGAAGCGATTAATGTTACCATTTTGTTGTAATTGTCATCTGCAAGATAAACACCGTTTCTTTCACGTGTAGCCAATAAATCTCGCCGCAGTCTTTCAATTTCTGAAGTATATTGTTTGAGAAATTCTTTCTTCGATAACTTCTGATTTATCTCGGGGCGATTGGTGATATTTTTCGCACGGCGAGCATAATCTAACGTGGACAGGGTTTCCTCATGATTTATACAAGCAGGGGATATGGTTGCAATAATTGATGTCTTTGTGCGTCCACCTAATGACTCTTGTAACAATCTTGTGAGCTTAGATTCTCTGTAGAACCAATGGATAAAAGTATTAAAAATATCTTTCCTTCCATAAAAAGACAAATTGTAGAATTTCATTACCTATAAGGTATGTGAGGTGCTCTTTCAACAAGAGCTGTTATAACTCTACCGAGTGTTAATAACGATTGATTAACACTACCAGCTTCTCTCGCCCTTCTATCAACAGCACCAGATCTACCCACATTTTCACTACCTGCTAGATCTACCAAATTTAATTTACCCGTTTTCAAAACTTCATCACCGTCGATGCTGTTTTCTTTCATGTGTACCGTAATCGAAAATACTGTATGCGATCGACTGCAATCATTTTGACATTATAAATTAATATTTACAATAATATACTTGAAAACGTATATGTATAGAATTAGTATATAAAATAAAATATTCACCTAGATTGAGCATTCATCAATGTTGCAGCAGTTTGTCTTTTTTCTAATCCTTTCTCAAGAATCTTGTAAACTTCACTTTTACTGTGTATTGTTATTTCTTCCAATCCATGAATAATAATTGCACCTTTCTTCGATGTGTCTTCATACAATCTATATAAACATTCACGCTCTTAGTTTATTGAAATACATAAAAACTAAGAAGATTATACAATTTTGAACTATATACTTTATTTTAGAGCCATCATCTGTAGCTGACAGAAGATCGAATAAATCCTCATTATACAGTTCTAGGAAACTAACTCTAATTGTGTATTCCTGTGCTTCTAGTAATTGTAATTCGTCGAACAAGTGACTTAAAGACCGTGGAATCATGCCAGCAGATGAATCCTACAATAAATAATTTATATGAATATTGTTTTAACAAATACATGTCCTTAACAGTGATAATACAAATTTTTATTTTTAATTTATTACATGAACAACTTACACTTCGCCAATGTAGAGTTGGATCCGTATTGATTCCTTCCATTGTGAAGGTTTTTCCAGTACCAGTTTGCCCATATGCGAATACTGTACAATTATATCCAGCCAAAACCTGCTCCAATAATGGGCTAACAACAGCAGTGTAGACATCGATCTAACAATTGATAAAGCATATGAGGGTTTTAAATGCGAATATTGAAAAAGATGTACAAATATAAAAAAGTGGAGTGATGCAATCAAAAGAGCAAAACAAAGTTGTAAGAGGACTTACATACCTGTTTCGAAAAAGGTCCAAATACATGATCAAATTTAAATCTTTTTGTAGAATTATCCTTTGGAAATTCATGTACTACTACTTCTTTGTTATTTGGAACTTCTACTATTGTTGACGATTTACTATTCTGCTCGGCTGCATTTATAGGCCTACAAGAAAAACAAAATTTTAGCATGCACAGCTGAAAAAAAAGTTTGGAATTGAACAAGTAAATAGATTGATAGTTTCTTACCTGACGCGAATAAAAACTTGTATGTTTTGTGATTTCTCTTTCTTTGCAACTCGTGAGTTGAGCATGTTTCCTTTATATTAGCAGCACTGACTTTTGACACATCAATAAAACCGTATGTTTCACTCACCGCATAAAAGTTTGTGCCCTATCCTAAACACGACACATTCTTCTGTTACGATTTAAACGGAAAAAGAATTCAAAATACGTAGTAGTCCAAGCGGCCGTTAGAGGCACTGTGTTACATTTAAAGGCAGATTCTTGAATTGCAAAATAACGTAGTCACGTAACTTTACGGATTCAGCAGGTCGGTATGTGCTGTACAGTTTCGTTACAGAAATAGTATTACCTAGAGATGTGTAGCTGCTTAATAAATACGAGATGGAGCCACCGACGTTTTCTATTAGGAATGAAAAAGAAACTCAATTCAAATAAAAATATTCTCCGGATCGAGAAATGCAATGACATTTTCTTATAACTTTTGAACCATTGGAGATATTGAAATGAAATTTTCACTAAAAATTTAAAAAATAATCATTCTTAACTTTAGGTAATTAAATATTTTTGCGTTTGTTAAGCAATAATTTTTAATTAATTTTAATTGATATCTTTTTGATAAAAAAATTGTTTAAATATAATTTTACGAACTATTTTTTACTTTCTAAATTTGTTTTATATATATATGTAAAATACAAAGGCGAGTAATTTTTTTGTAATCAACGCATACAAGAATTACGGGAAACATAAATACACATCTTAAGTGTGCAAACAGGTATTTTTATGATTATTTATAATAATTATAATCTTTTCAACGGTGCGGATTGAGGAATACAATGCCGTTTTTGTATAACTTTTTAATCATAATAGATATTGGCACGTGATTTGTTTAGAATAATATACAAATATTATGTGACAAACAAGTTTGAAAAATAATAAAAAATTATATTAGAAATATTTAATTTGTTATTGTTATTACATAATTTGTTTAAGTTCTCAATTATTTTTGTGGGTACTATTATTCGTATGCTAGATGCGAAAAGATTAGAATAATTCTGAGATGTCCAAATGCGAAAATTCTGAAATAAAACGTGTCAATAAACAATTAATTTTCAATAAACAAATGTATAAAGAATTAGGAGCACGTGTTCCTATTTTTACAAGTCAAATCCGCAGTTTAGTAATGTTATTCCCCATAAATAGGGAAAAATGAAAACGAACCCCATCGTAGCGTTACAGGGTTCGTTCACATGTATGTATGCATACAAGGTTTCCCGGGTTTCCCACAGTTTCCCCCACTGTACATAGTACAATTGCTAGAAAAAGTACAATTTTGAATTATCCCGCCTCGCAGAAGAAGATTGTTACCACACGTTTTGTTTAATTACTTGTGAAAATAATACTTTTGATTGAGAATAAATAGAGATGATGCAGCCAAACGGGACAATTACACGGACAAGTAAATTGCAGATTTTGGAAACAATTTACAACCTAATGTACAGTCGTCGAAAATCATGAACCATCCTTTAGGTAAGAAATTTATTTAATTCGATTTGACAAAGTTTCGAATAAACTAAGCCAATATCAATATATTAAATTTGCATATTTTTACTGTAGACTTATAAAGGGAATGTAATTAAAATCAACGTCTCTACTACATATGATCTTTCCGTTGTACTATTAAGTATTTATCGTCATGGTAACGTCCTTGTTTATGATTATCACTTTGGCTACTTTCTACTTTAAGGATTTAATACAATTTTAAATAAAGGTAACGTTAGTGAGGTATAATTTTTAATTGTTTGTGAAAAGTAATGTACATCTAAATATAAAAAGGATTTAAGATTCGAAATGTAAGACCATTCGTAATGATAACAGAATTTGTACACATAAATAACATACATGGATAATATTCTATAATTACTTTTTAAAATTATGACTATAAAGTATTTATTTGAAAAATAGAAACTAGAACAGAAAATGATCCGTAATGACAGTAAAGATCTATAGATTTTTCAATAGTAAAATCCAAGTATTTGAAAATTTAACAATTGTTTTTTATCTAAAATTTATATCCAATGAATTGTTTTTTGTGTTATAGATAGTATAACATAATAAATATTGTAATTATTATATGCACATGTTAATATTGATTCTAGAGCAATGAACAAAAAAAAGTATAAAAATGATTTTACTCAAATACCATGGGTACCAGCAGTGAAATCGGTTGAATCTATTGATTGGTCATTGTGCCAACAACATGCTAGAAAGCAGGCATTACCAGGTCATTCTTGGTCAAAAGTCACATCCAAAAAACATTTAAATAGGTACATAAAATTATCAGAAGATTTTGGGAGCATATTTACATCAACGGTGTACCAACTTCATAAAAAGAGGTTGTTGAAAGATAAAGAACAGTTTAAAGCAAGCCCCAAGGTATTTAAACAAAAACTTGCATATCCTCCGTTGGAGTTTCAAAGAAAGTATAAAGGTGAGACGCAACAAGGACTTGTAAAAAAATATGTGCATCATCTACCAAATAATATTATTAGTTTGGAAGAACTAGCTGATGGTACTTGGTTACATTCAAATGATGTTCAAAAGCAAGTTTCTAAAATATTTAAAAGGGTTGGGAAGATTAAGAAGTTCAAAGATGCTAAGCGGAAGGTCTCATCAGAAATAGAGGTAAAATATATTCTTTATTTAGGTAAATAAAAATTTACAAATATTTTATTGATTACTGAAAATTGTAGAATTTTCAACAATATGAGGCTGAAATGCCAAGGTCAATAGAAGAACAAATAGATAGTTTCTTAAAAGAAATCAACAAGGAACAGAAGAGATACGCAGAATTAGAAGATAATGAAATAATTTGTTCAAGTAGTCGTGAAACTATGTTTACAGAATTAGACAGTTATGATTATAGTAATCTTGAAGAGGCAAAGAAATATATTACTGGTAAATTGCGGAAACGAGAAGAGTAAGCTCTAAATAATTTGAGTCCATATGTGTTAATTAATGACTATTTCATTAATGAGATCTTCCTTAGTTTCAACGAATTGCTAGAAGATTTGAAATCCGAAATTATTGAAAATTACAAACAACGTCTCCAATATATTACTCTCGATTGTATCCTCTTGGAGACCAGTGAAAGAAGAAGATTACGCTTAGACAAATCACCTGTTGAGTATCAACTTATTACTATACGAGCACCTGTTCCTTGGCATACATCTAAATTAATTGCCGAGCATTATATGCAGCACAATTTGTTCATTGGAAACGAGATACTGAAAGATATTCAAGATCTTTATTTTTCCAAGTAAGATGAGTATCTTATAATTAGTATTTTTCTATGATATACTTCTCGTATTTTATATAGAGCATTGGTTTTTAATATCTATGTATGTCAAATGTTTTAATTTAGATAAAGATATCAAAAGCATCCAGTAAACATGTTTAATGGCAATTTATCAGGTATCAAGATATGATGATACTAAGACTTCAAGATCTAGGAGACTTTCCTATCTCGGCTTTTGAAATGGAGGGTAGAGTAAATTCATTATGCAATGAAACAATGAATAAACTCACAAAAGAATGGTTGGCAAATATCGCTGAAATTTTCTTAGAAAAAAAGCATATTTGGTCTTGTTTGGTAGAAGAGCACCACAAAGCCTCTACTGTATTGATACAAAATTATTTTTTAAGTGTGAACACCCTACTATCTAACCAATTACGGATGATAGTAATGAAAACGTTGCATCATATCAGAGAATTTTTTATAGAATACAGCAATGGAAATTACTTTAAGGGTGATTATGAGGACCTGATGTTTTGCAAGTAGGAGACCTTTTCTCTTTGGATGGACTTCATATGTCTTCTAAATAATATGGAGGTATCTTTCAGACCTCCTTTCATAACTATAATAATTGAACCAGAACTTGGAACCCCACTTTTGCACTGTAAACCAAGCATATCAGAAGTACAATCAATGATCTTACAATGTATCGACAACATCCTTAGGGTGGCAGCATATGTTCCAAAAATCGAAACTCTTCTATTTCCTGAACTGGAATGTCGTGATTATCTGTTCCCTATATCACGATACGAAGAGGAGGTAAAAACAATATTTTTATTGAAAATAGTAGCTCCAATGACTAAAAACAGCAATTTCGTTATTTTACAGGTTTCGCTAATAATAGCCGATACATTAGAAGTCCTCAGTGTACATGCGGCGGGACCGGGACTTTACCTAAAGTGTTATGATGATTTGCTGTACATCTTAGACGGACAAGCTAAACGAAATTTGGACAATTTCTTCGCGATCGATCCATTCCCATTTCTGCGTGAATTCGAGAACCGAATAAAGGACTACGATAATCTCCGAAAAGAGATCACTATATTTCGTTCTAAGGTAAGATTAATGTCCATAGAACAAACTGAACTATAAATTAGATTCTTTCAGGTCCCTCTGAACATGATCGAGATTGACTGTTCATTAGTCAACAACACCTTGAGGCAAGTCCTGCATGATCTTCGCAGTCAGATTTGCGATTATTTTGCTGATGAACTACGGGCCAATAACCGTGATCTATGTACCACCTTCGATACGATAGCAGAGACCATCTCGAAGATGCCCGAGAAAACGCGGGAAGTGGTCGAGCTATATAATTATCTATGCGAGAGTCGAGACTCAACCTTGTTCAACTTGAAAAGGCAACTGGCACATTCCATCGAATTACTGTTGTTCTTATTTGACTATCAACCTCCGGCAATGGAAGACATCCAACTAAGTTCCCGCGCCATCACCTGGCCAAAGGAGATGGACACAGTGATGGAACTAGCGAATTCTAGATTGAACATGAGAAGGGAGTTCCTGGAGGATGTGCTGCGCATAAAAAAGGAGACTTTTGAGCATACGATCAAGACCATGGAGCAGGGGATTGATCAGTTTAAACGGAAGGATCCTCCGATGCTGACAATGTCTGAAATGGAGGACGCAGTTAGGGAGGTGGAGCACCTCTCCGCCGGGATGGAGGCGATTAAAAAGGAAGCCGAGGAAATCAACGAAGAGGAATCCCTTTTGGATATGGAATTGAGTCCGTATATGACGTTGCCGGCGATGGCAAACCTCGTGAATACATTAGACACAGTCTGGCACACCACGTTGAGCTTCCACGTGAACTACGATAAGTGGTACTACGGTCCATTTGAGGGGCTAAACGCTGATGAGATTACAGATAATGTAGAGAATGTCTGGCGGACATTGTACAGATTGGCGCGTCTTCTGACGGATGTACCTGGTGCGAGACGAATTGTGGATACCGTCCGCGGCAAGGTAGAAAAGTTTAAGCAACTGCTCCCCGTCCTGCAGATTATTTGTACACCAGGCATGCAAAAGCGTCACTGGGATCAGATGAGCAAGATAGTGAATGTGGAGATCGAGCCTACGGAAACCAGCAGTCTGTCAGACATGATAGACTTAGGGTTGCTGGTCCACATCACCAAGCTCGAGGAGATCGCGTCCGCTGCTGTGAAGGAACACGGGCTGCAGTTAAGCTTGCAGAAGATGAAAGACGAGTGGAGCAATATATTCTTCGACCTGACCGCATATCGGGAGACAGGTGTCGATATTCTAACAGCAGTGGACGACATACAAGTGCTTCTGGACGACCACATTCTGAAGGCGCAGACAATGCGCAGCTCGCCCTTTGTAAAGGCGTTCGAACATGAGATGCAAGAGTGGGAAGATAAGCTGCTGTTGATGCAGGACATCATCGACCAGTGGTTGGTATGCCAGGCGACCTGGATGTACTTGGAGCCGATTTTCAGCAGCGAGGACATTATGCGGCAGATGCCCACCGAGGCGAAGAACTTCCGGCGGATGGACAAGATTTGGCGCACAATCATGAAGTACGTAGGTGCTAATAGACTTGTGCTAGAGGCAACTGGCATGCCGAAAATGCTGAACGAGTTTAAACTATGTAACATGTTGCTCGACGAGATACAAAAGGGCTTGAACGACTATCTTGAGAGGAAGCGTTTGTTCTTCCCGAGGTTCTTCTTCTTGTCAAACGACGAATTGCTAGAGATACTCTCCGAGACCAAGGATCCGCAGAGAGTGCAGCCGCACTTGAAGAAATGCTTCGAGGGAATCAGTAAGCTACGGTTCACTAAGGAAGAGGAGATTATTGGGATGTTGTCTGATCAAGAGGAATACGTTCCTCTGAGCGGAAAGATATACCCTGCAGATGCGAAAGGTATGGTTGAGAGATGGCTAAGCCAGGTTGAGCAGCTCATGGTGACCTCTCTCCGCGACATTGCTGAAGAGAGCGTAATCTCGTACTTCGACACCCCTAGAGCCGAGTGGATATTTTCTTGGCCTGGTCAGATAGTGATTTGTGCAAGCCAAGTACATTGGACCAGCGAGGTTTGCGAATCATTCGACAATCAGAGTACAAATAACTATTTATACACGTGCAACTCTCAAATTGAGGAGGTTGTGTCCTTGGTCAGAGGCAAGCTGGAGGCAGGAGCTAGGATAACGATCAATGCGTTGATCGTCATAGACGTTCATGCGCGGGATGTAGTCAAGTTGCTCGTCGAGAAACAAGTGACAGACGCGATGGACTTTGATTGGATATCGCAGCTGCGATATTACTGGCTGAACAATAGCATCACGGTTGCGATGATCACAACCAGCGTAGCGTATGCTTTTGAATATCTAGGTAACACCGCCAGGTTGGTGATCACACCGTTGACCGATAGATGTTACAGAACACTGATGGGAGCATTGAAATTAAATTTTGGTGGCTCACCAGAGGGACCAGCAGGAACTGGTAAAACTGAGACGGCAAAGGATCTAGCGAAGGCTGTGGCCAAGCAGTGCGTGGTATTCAATTGTTCGGATGGTCTAGACTACAAGGCAATGGGGAAGTTCTTCAAAGGACTCGCTCAGTCTGGAGCTTGGGCCTGCTTCGACGAGTTCAATAGAATCGACCTGGAAGTACTCTCAGTGATTGCACAGCAGATTCTGACCATACAAATGGCTATAAGCATGAAGCTGGAGACGTTCATGTTTGAAGGCACAGAGCTTAAGCTGAACCCCACATGCTACATCATAATAACGATGAATCCTGGTTACGCCGGCCGTCAGGAGCTTCCGGACAACTTGAAGGTTCTGTTCCGTTCCGTGGCCATGATGGTACCGGATTACGCCATGATAGGCGAGATCACGCTGTACTCTCTTGGATTCATAGACGCTAAGAATCAAGCAGAGAAAATCGTTCACACGTATAAACTTTGCTCCGAGCAACTGAGCTCGCAGAATCATTATGACTACGGTATGCGAGCTGTAAAGACAGTTCTCGTCGCCGCGGGGAATCTAAAGTTAAAGTACCCAATGGAAAACGAGTCCATGCTGGTCCTCCGAGCTATCATAGATGTAAACCTCCCAAAGTTCTTGGCTCAGGATGTTCCATTATTTAATGGTATTTATAAAGATTTATTCCCAGGCATTGACCTTCCTCAGCCGGATAGGGACGAGCTGATCGAACTAGTGAAGGTGATCTTGGAGAAACGGAATCTGCAATCCACACCCTGGTACATGGAGAAGATAGTGCAGATCTATGAGATGATCCTAGTGCGACATGGCTTAATGATTGTTGGACGCACGCTTAGCGGGAAAACGAAGGCATACCAGAGCCTAGCAGAAGCTTTAGGTGATTTATCTGGTAAAAGACGGGCTGCTATGAGGGAGTACCAAACTATTTATAAAATCATCAACCCGAAGGCCATCACTCTGGAACAACTGTATGGCAGTTTCGACCTGGTGTCCCACGAATGGAGCGATGGTGTTCTAGCGAATATGTTCAGAGAGTTTGCTCAATCTTTCTCGGTCGACCGCAAGTGGATCGTGTTTGACGGTCCTGTCGACGCCGTTTGGATAGAGAGCATGAACACGGTGCTTGACGATAATAAAAAGCTCTGCCTGATGTCTGGGGAAATCATAACTATGTCGCATAAGATGAACATGATATTCGAACCCGAAGATCTGGAACATGCTTCGCCAGCTACTGTTAGCCGATGTGGAATGATCTATATGGAGCCGTCTCAGCTTGGTTGGAAAGCACTGTTTGAGTCGTACAAGAAGTATCTGAAAGAGAAGCTGCTTCTTGAACAGTTTGAACTTGTCGTGGAATTGGTGGATTGGTTAACAGAATCGATTCTGAGCTTCATAGATAGATACTGTAAAACGTTTATACCAGTATCAGAGCTTCATATGTTTCTGGTGAGTATCCTGGTAACAATCGTTGGTATGAAAATAATACTTATTGTTTCAGTCTTTTACAAGATTATTTACGTCATTGCTGGACGAAGAGACGCAGGTCAGTACTGTCTGGCTGCAATGCATATTATTGTTCACTATGATTTGGGGCATGTGTTCGACGCTGACCAGTGAGAGCAGAAAGTCTCTGGATGTTTATTTAAGAAAAGTATTGTTGGGTAATGACGACGAATGTCCCAGACCAAAATCATTTAAATTGTCGAAGGCGCAGTTGTTCCCTGAGAAAGGTACTATTTTTGAATGGATATACGATAAAAGAAATAATGGCAGTTGGATATCTTGGATGGACCCAACGTTAATGGTAATTAAAGTTTCAGTCTTATCAAAATGATACCTTGATATCTTCACTCATGATCTTTACTTTCATGTTTCAGGCTACATTAATACCAGAGTCAAAATCTAGTCAACTGATAGTGCCAACATCCGAAGTAGTAATCCAAAACTTCTTTCTAACAAACCTGTTATACAGGTCAATACCCCTCTTATTTGTGGGGCCAACAGGTACCGGCAAGTCTGCAGTCATTCTGGACTACCTGGTGTCCTTGAACCGAGACAAATACATGGAGAATGTAATAAACTTCAGTGCCTGCACCACCGCTTTTCAGACTCAAGAAATGGTAATGTCTAAGCTAGATCGTCGAAGAAAGGGTGTTTACGGTCCACCAATGGGAAAGAAATGCATTCTCTTCGTCGACGACATGAGCGTACCACAAACGGAAATCTACGGTGCCCAGCCACCTATTGAACTAATTCGTCAATGGGTAGATCATGGGCATTGGTTCGACGTAAAAGACACAACGATGCTGTACCTGGTGGACATGTTCTTGATCGCTGCAATGTTGCCACCAGGTGGTAGTTCTAACTTGGTGACGTCTAGATTAACTCGCCACATGCACATAATTGGCATCGACGTGTTTGAGGAGGCAACCATTTCGAAAATCTTCTCCACGATCCTAGAGAATCATTTCGCGAAGGGATTCCCCCCGGAAGTTGCAAGATTAGGGAAGATGGTTATCAGTGCCACCACGGACGTATACTTCGCAGCTATTCAGAAGTTCTTGCCCACACCAGCTAAAAGTCACTACACATTCAATCTGCGTGACTTCAATCGAGTCATCAAGGGCATACTTCTGGTACCAGCCGCCAGGATGCAGGACCCGGATAAACTCATCAGATTGTGGATCCACGAAGTGTACAGGGTATTCAATGATAGATTGGTGGACGTCAACGATGAAGAGGTTCTGTTTAAGATAGTAAATCATACCTGCTACGAACAGCTCCGACAGCCTATGGAAAAGGTACTCGCTAGATTTCTGCGGAACAATGAGAAAGTGATTAAAAGTTCGCATATCCGTGACCTTTTCTTCGGCAACTACATTGAACCCGATGCCATTCCCAAGGTGTACGATGAAGTGGTGGACTTGAAGGACTTACAGAAAAAAATGGACTTCTATCTAGTAGAGTACAACATGCTTTCCAAGACTCAAATGAATCTAGTCTTGTTTAGGTATGCCATCGATCACATTTCCCGTGTCTCACGGATACTTCTACAAGAAAATGGTCATGCTCTTCTAGTTGGGATCGGCGGATCTGGTAGAAGCTCCTGTGCCAAACTCGCAACCAGTATGTGCGAGTATCTGATATACCAGGTGGAAATGACCAGATCGTACGGAGTCACGGAATGGCGAGAGGACATGAAGAATCTACTGCTTCGCGTAGGCTGTGATGGGAAATCCACTAGCTTTCTCTTCGGCGATCACCAGATCAAAACGGAATCATTCGTGGAGGACATAAACATGATACTGAACACAGCGGATATACCAAACTTGTACAACTCCGAGGAGAAAGCCGAGATCATGGACAAGATGTCGAACTTGCCCCAAGACACCGGGAAGAAAGGGGAGACCACGCCGATGACACTCTACAACTTGTTCCTAAAAAGAGTCATGAAGTGTCTTCACCTGATCTTGACTATGTCGCCGATTGGAAACGCATTCAGGAATCGTCTCAGGATGTTCCCATCCCTCATCAACTGTTGCACCATCGACTGGTTCACAATTTGGCCGGAGGACGCTTTGGAGAAGGTGGCACGGATGTCCTTACAGAACGTGGAGATCAGCGAAGATCTGCGTGAGAAGTGTGTACAAATCTCCAAGGAGTTTCATACAAGCATTACCAAAGCCAGCGAGGACTATTTTAAAACACAAGGTAGGAGGTACTATACGACTCCCACCAGTTTCCTGCAGTTGATTAATTTGCTGGGTAAGCTATATAATCGAAAAACTCAGGAGATAGTGTTGGGACAGAACCGTTACGAAACTGGTTTGGAGAAATTGGACTTTGCAGCTGGCGAGATAGCGGTGATGAAGGTGGAGCTGCAGGAGCTGCAGCCGAAGCTGATGGCGCAGTCCGACTTGAGTAACAAACTTATGATCAAAATAGAGCAGGACACGATCAACATAGAGGCGAGAAAGGAAGTGGTGGCAGCTGAGGAAGCATTAGCGAACGAGGCTGCTGCAGCAGCTCAGGCCATAAAAGACGATTGTGAGGGCGATCTGGCCGAAGCCACCCCAGCGCTAGAAGCCGCTTTAGCCGCTTTGGATACCCTCAAGCCTGCGGACATTACTATCGTGCGATCCATGAAAAGTCCACCGGCGGGCGTAAGATTAGTGATGGAAGCTGTGTGCGTGCTGAAGGGTGTAAAACCGGAAAAGGTCACAGACTCAGCAACCGGACAAACGGTGGAGGACTACTGGCCGGCATCCATAAAGGTACTCGGCGACATGAAGTTCCTCGAGAGCCTGAAGAACTTCGACAAGGATAATGTGCCACCAGTGTACATGAAGAAGATTCGCGATAAATTCATCAACGACAGGAGCTTCCAGCCAGAGGCCATTAAGAAGGTTTCGACCGCTTGCGAGGGTCTCTGCAAGTGGGTGCGAGCCATGGAGGTCTACGACAGAGTTATCAAAGTTGTGAAACCGAAGCAGGAAATGCTGGCGGAAGCGGAAGCTGCTCTGGCTTCGCAGATGGAAGCTCTGAACGCCAAGAGGGCGCTTCTACAGGAAGTCAGCCAGAAACTGCAAGCTTTGAACGACGAATTCGCCGAATGTATGCGTGAGAAGAAGAAGCTGGAGGACCAGATCAACTACTGTATGCAGAAACTGGACAGAGCCGAGAAGCTACTGGGCGGTTTGAGCGGTGAGAAGAACAGATGGAATGAAAACGCGATCGCGTTAGGTCAGAGCTTACACAATGTCATCGGTGATATACTCCTTTGTTGTGGGGTGATAGCTTACCTAGGAGCCTTCACAGTAGACTACAGAACCAGTCTGATCGCTCAGTGGTACTCATTCTGTCAGAAAATCAAGATCCCTTGCAGTGACAAATTCAGTTTGATCGATGTACTAGGCAAACAAGTGGAAATCAGGGCATGGACGATCTTTGGTCTCCCAGCGGACAACTATTCTGTGGAAAATGGCATAATCGTGAAGAATGCAGACCGCTGGCCACTTTTGATTGACCCGCAGAATCAAGCGAACAAGTGGGTGAAGAACATGGAGAAGGAGAACAAGCTAGTGGTTATCAAGCTTACTGATCCAAATTACGTGAAGGTGGTTGAAACTTGTATACAACTTGGAACACCAGTTCTGTTGGAGAATATTCTCGAGGAGATCGATGCTATACTCGAACCAGTGCTGTTGAAGAATATATACAGAGAGCGTGGCGAGTTGTACATGAAGTTTGGTGAAAACGTTATCGAGTACAACACCGACTTCAAATTTTATATCACCACGCGCTTGCGGAATCCTCATTACTTGCCAGAGGTAGTTGTCAAGGTGACCTTGTTGAACTTCATGATCACACCGCAGGGACTACAAGATCAGCTGCTGGGCATTGTTGTCGCCAAAGACTTGCCTGTTCTCGAAGAGCGTAAAAACCAGCTGATCGTAGAAGGTGCGAACAACAGGAAGATCTTGGAAGAAGTAGAGAATAAGATTCTAGAAGTGTTGTCCCTCTCGGAGGGCAATATACTCGAGGATGAAACAGCGATCCAAATACTGTCCTCTTCGAAGGTGCTGTCAGAGGATATTCAAGCAAAGCAGACGATAGCTGCAAAAACTGCAATAGAGATTGATAACGCTCGTAACGGATACATGCCCGTTTCAGAGCACGGATCCGTCCTCTTCTTCTGCATCTCAGAGCTGACAAACATTGACCCGATGTATCAGTACTCTCTAGTGTGGTTTATTCACCTGTACATCATGGCAATAGCCAACAGCGAGCAAACATCGAACTTGGCTGTCCGGATAAAAAGCATGAACACGTACTTCACTGCCAGCATCTACAGAAACGTGTGCCGGTCCTTATTTGAGAAGGACAAGCTAATATTCTCCTTTGTCCTGTGCGTTGGTCTAATGCGTGCAGCTCATGAATTGGAAGAAAGTCTTTGGACGTTCTTGTTAACTGGCGGAGTAGCGTTGGACAATCCTTTCCCTAATCCAGATTCGTCTTGGTTGACTGATAGATCCTGGTCCGAAGTAGTCAGAGCTACAAATTTGCAAGGACTTGAGAAGCTAAAGGATTCCTTCCAAAAGAATACGCGCCAGTGGAAAACTTTCTATGATCTGTCTAATCCCCAGGATAATCCTTTTCCACAACCGTTTGATCAGGTGACCGAAGGCCTAATTAAACTGGTGATCCTCAGGTGTATAAGACCAGACAAAATCGTAGCTGCGGTACGGTCCTTTATTATACACCGGATGGGACAGTTCTTCGTCGAACCTCCACCGTTTGACCTTCAAGGGTCCTACAACGATTCTAGCAACGTGACCCCACTTCTCTTCATCTTATCCCCTGGATCCGATCCAATGGCTGGACTAATACGGTTTGCAGAGAACTATGGGATATCCAAGAAGAATCTTATGACCATATCCCTAGGCCAAGGCCAGGGCCCTATAGCCGCAAACATGATAAATGTCGGAATTAAAAGCGGGGAATGGGTGGTACTCCAAAATTGCCACTTGGCGATTTCATGGATGAAAGATTTGGAAAGAATTTGTGATGAAGTCATCACGCCTGAGAACACGAATGTCAAGTTTAGATTGTGGCTGACTAGTTATCCATCCGAAGACTTTCCGATATCCATTTTACAGAATGGCGTGAAGATGACCAATGAGCCTCCCAAAGGGTTGAAGAACAATTTACTTAGGAGCTACCTCAATGATCCTGTGTCAGATCCGAAGTTCTATGGTAGTTGCAGAAAGATAGTAGAGTGGAGGCACCTTCTATTTTCTTTATGCTTCTTCCACGCTGTCGTCCAAGAAAGACGTAATTTTGGACCATTAGGCTGGAACATTCCTTATGAGTTCAATGAGTCAGATCTGCGAATTAGTATTCTACAATTACAGGTGAAAAGAATTTCATTTATTTAAGAAAAATTTAATTTATCTTATAACATTGGACAGAGGTTAATCACAATTAACTTCTTTTTAGCTCTTCTTAAATGATTATGAAAAAGTGCCTTTTGACGCGCTTCTTTATCTTACTGGCGAATGCAATTATGGTGGACGCGTTACAGATGATAAAGACAGACGTCTATTGAATTCCTTACTTCAAGGGTTCTACAATGCCGTAGTTATCACTCAGCAAGAGTAAGTTAGTTTAAACAAAGATGATCTAAATCCCGATTTTAAACAATTCACCTTGCAACTTATCTGTTGCTATTTCTTTTAGATACTGTTTTTCACCAAGTTGTATGTACCGTATGCCTCTAAATACCGAGCATCAAGCTTGTGTAGCATACATTCGAAGTTTGCCAATTGATCAGCACCCCGAGGTCTATGGTCTACACGAGAATGCGGATATAACGAAGGATAATCAGGAGTCTATGCAACTGCTCGATGGAGCTTTACTAACACAGCCACAGATTACTGGTGTTGGGGTCGAGCGAGACGTGGACGCTATGGTTTTTAATTTATGCGACGATATTCTATCTAAAATGAGATTGCCCTTCGACGTTGTGGAAGTGGCTAAGAACTATCCAGTGCTTTACATGAACAGCATGAATACGGTTCTTCGGCAGGAGCTGATCAGATTCAATAACTTGTTGCTCGTTATTAGAAACACCTTGGCGGACACGCAAAAAGCCATCAAAGGCTTGGTTCTAATGTCAGCAGAGTTAGAAGAGGTTTCAACGAGCATGAGCATCGGCAAAGTGCCTGGAGCTTGGAATAAAAGGTCCTATCCGTCCTTGAAACCGCTCGGAAGCTTTGTAAATGATTTAATTGAGAGATTAGAGTTCTTTCAAAACTGGATAGACTTCGATGCACCAAATGTGTTCTGGATATCCGGTTTCTTCTTTACTCAATCGTTCCTCACCGGCGTCTTGCAGAACTTCGCGCGTAAAAATAAAATTCCAATCGACAGGGTGGACTTCGAATTTGAAGTGACTGCATTCGAAACCAGCGTGAACACTGCACCATCCTATGGAGTATACATAAAGGTACATTTGAAGAAACGTTACTACATGTTTTGAGTACTTTTTAATTTTTCTACTTTCTCTCAGGGCTTATTTTTAGAAGGTGCTAGATGGAATAGAGAAGAAAAGACAATAGATGAGTCAAAGCTCAAAATAATGTTTGATGTTTTACCAATAATATGGCTACAGCCTGGTGAAAAAGCCCAATTTATTGCTAAATCTGTGTATCATTGCCCGGTATATAAGACAAGCGCAAGACGTGGCGTTTTAGCTACCACTGGTCATTCATCCAACTTTGTTTTATACATTTTACTTTTGACAATAGTTAGTGAATCTCACTGGATTAAAAGAGGAGCAGCATCTTTATGTCAACTTGACGATTGATAGATCTATATTTATATGAAAATCAAGGAGAGACAAATAAATAGAGAAACACACAATAAAAATTTGTCAAATAATATAATTGATATTGTAACATTTCAGTAGTTGATTAATCTTACGATCTACTTATTGAACGGTGTAGTTACATATGTACAATCTGTCTCTGTCTGTTCTGGGGCACTTCATTTATGAATTTAATCTTGAATCTCTTATGTGGGATAATGTGTAATTCAAGACACTTAATGAAAAAATTGTTTATTCAATGAAATTTCCATAAGAATAGACAGTCAAGAACATTGTGCCAATAATTATCACATCGCTGTATGATATTGATATTTTTTTTTAGTTGTGTATAGTTAAATATATGTACATATGTGTATGTTAAATACATGTGTAAATGTATATATACAGAAACTCGTATAATAATCTATTACAATTTGTATAACAGCTGATTTTCAGATGTTTATTTTTGCATAACAATTTAGCTCGAATTATTAAACTGATACTGTTTCCCACTTTCTGTTAGTAATTTTAAAAAATCAAATGTTTGAAATGTATAATTCTATTCCATTCTAATAATCTTGAGCAAATAGAACGTTTTCAATCATTGCAAATTATTGGTTGAGCACATTCACAGTCCGTTTGCTACTTAACGAGAGTAGGGTTGGTGTCGGTCGCGTTGTTATCGGCTTCCCTTCTTGAAATGCGTTCGACGTAACAGAAGGCAACGGTACCAATGACGATAGTTATCGTCAATATAAGAAGCTGTATATGAAGGCCGACACGACTGGTGTAGCCAAAACTGATGGCAGCCGCGACCGACTGGAAAAATTTGAACAGCACGAATGCTGATGCACTCTGTTTCGCAAAAAGTGTACCGAGCAATGAGTATATTTGGGTGTTGAAGCAAGCATCACCAAAGCCCAATGCAAGACTTCCGGCCATAGCTAAGATTGGTGAAGGTGTGATGAACCCTACTTTGTCGGTCTCCGAAAACGGTGAGTCGTTTGGCAAGTTCAAGAAAATGGAAATGAAAGCAAATAGATGTACACCAAATCCCGTAACTACAACCAACCATCCACCGCAATTGCGGGCCAGCTTTGATGCAAAAATACCAAAGATGGCTCCACCCATGACCTCACCAATTCCAATAAAAATTCCTGAAAGACCTACCAGGCTTTTACGCGACTCGCCAATTGCCTTGGTGAATCCAATGCATGACGAATAGACGCCTGTGTAGAACGTTAAGACAAGACCAGTGTATATAAAGGTCAAGGACAACAGAAGCATCTTTAGCGTCAAGAAAAGACTGAACGCATCTATAAGCGCATCCCAGGCGGCTATCCATGGTCTTTCTCTTGCTGGCTCTGGTATCTGAAGTTCCCTGTTAGCACTGGAGACTCCTTCAGCCTCACCCAGAACCAGCCTCTGTGATGAACTCCTCAATGTAGCCAGGAGACAGGTGCCGGCGATAGATAAGCCGGTTAGCACGCTAAAAACGATTATCCTCGTCGAACCATCGATTTTGGGATTGATGAACATGAAGTACACGAATAGATTGCCGATGAACATCGACGTTTGGAAGATTGCCCAGAACACTCCTGCGTTTCTGGACATGGTTTCGGTGTTGCTGTTCTCTGTTAGGTACTGTCCATGCCCTGTCCATATCAAAGCAGCTCCAAGACCAAGGACACAGGAGGCAATATAGAGTAGAGCATTGTGAGGCCACAGGAACGACGCTATGAAAAGGACGTAACAGCAAGCGCCAGTTAGAATAGCAACTCGTGGCCCTGACATAGAGATGTACGATGGAGCTAACCAGTTGCAAGTAGCGAAGACTGCATAAATAATGGATAAACTCGTGTAGGCGTCGCCAGTGAAACTGTGGTCTTCATCCATAATACTTTGCAGCACAGTTTTCTATATAGGAAACGAACACAATTTAATATATATGTGATGACATAGAAAAGAGTATGTGAAATATGCTTTCCACGGAAACATATGTACCATATATTTTTTTCCTTATCTTACATATCAGAAAATGATCATATCAGCTATAATGTCTAATCTAACTACACGGTTCCAAAATTACCGATATCAATCTATCTCAAACGTGACCATTTAAGAAATATTGAATGTTTGCATCCACACTGATAATTGATCTTTGATCGGATTTTAGTATCGTACATTCCAATGAATGTGAAGCACGTGGATTAATCATATCAAAGAATACAATAATTTACAAAGCCTAACGATTAAACGTTTAATAACGAGTCGAAAAGTATTAAAATATAATAATGTGTACAAACTCATAATATAATTCTGTGCGATATATTTGAAAGCAAGGATCTATACGAA